CGATCCCACGACGCCGCCGCTCATGCGCAGGATCGCTCCAAAATCCAACTTTGGGAGGTCGAGAACACGGCTGCTGGATCCTCCGCCCATGACTCCCGCGATCCGGAACCAGATCACTTCCACTCTCAAGAGCCGGAAGTTTGAAGGTGACGACGTGAGGTTCTCGCCGCCAAAGACACCCGGCTCCGCAAAGTCGATATCTTTCGAGGATGATCAGGATCCCCTGGACGACGACTCCATACCCGGCGATAAGAATCTCAACAAGGGCGAGAGCGAGTGGCTCTACTGGATCCAGTGGGTCTCGCTCTTGATCCTCACTGCCTTGCTCGTATGCTCGCTCAAGATCGAGGAGATTGAAGGGAAGAGTTGGCTGCAACTTAGTCTCTGGAGGTGGCAAGCGCTTGCGCTCGTTGTTATCTCGGGCCGACTTATTGCAAGCTGGATCGTCAAGGTAGGCTCTCTTTCGATTGATTTTTCTGGCTTGGATCTGACGGATTTTGTCTCTCTGGAAGCTTTTTGTAGCACTGATAGAGAGGCGTTTTCTCTTCAAGAAACGAGTGCTCTACTTCGTATACGGCTTGCGGAAGGCTGTGAAGAATTGCATCTGGATTGGCCTGACTCTCGGGGTCTGGGAAGTGATTTTCAACGGACGAGAGGATACGAAAACCGTGAGGATCGTTACGAAGGTAGGATTTCCAAGTTTTTCTTTCTGTAATCACCAGGACATAGCCTGTTTGGTGTGATCATGCAGGTGCTGTGGTGTTTGCTCACTGGCTCTATTTCATGGATGTTGAAGGTGCTGATCTTGAAGGTTGCAGCAAATAGTTTTCACAGATCGGCGTATTTTGAGAGAATACAGGACTGCATTTTCAGCCAGTATCTCCTGGAAACACTTTCAGCTCCCCCAGCGCATGGTTGTTTGCTTGACTCTTCAAATCCCGCAAGGCCTCCAGCAGTGGTAAGTTTTCCCTTTTTTCTCCGATGTTGCTTGTCAAAGTTTTTCATTTGTCTGTTGGTTTTTTCTTGATGAGTTTGAGTTTTCATTTTATAGCTGATTTTTCTTGCCAGCCGCATGAGCAGGATTCTGCGAGCCCTTCTCAGTGGGCTTTCGCTAAAGGAGATGTCGAAAACCCCGTACAAACACCCTCCAAGTCGGCGAAAAGGAGGCTCGGTCTCTCATTTTTTTCAGCCACGCCTAAAAAGAAGCCAGAAACGCCTGTTCCTCTGATCGCGAAGAGTCCCGTTCCGATAGAGCAGAACAGGTTGCAGCAGTTGACATCACAAGTAAGCTAAAACGATTTTCATGTTTTCTTGTTTGGCTAAACTTTGTTTCTCACAGACGGTGTCCGCTTGGACACTCCGAAGGCTAATGAAGACGATCCGAAGCAAAAACATGACGACTTACTCGTCCATGCTCTCCCAAAACGGGGAAACCGAAATCGACAGCGAGATTGAGGCAAGGTCGGCCGCCAAAAAGGTATCGTACGATTGAAACTCAATTTTTCTGAAACGTTTTCGTGGCAGATTTTTTTTAACATGGCGAGGCCTGGGCAAAAGTACCTGACACTCAGGGACTTCTTGTATTTTCTGCCAGAGGAACAGGCAGCAAGGGCCTTTTCTCTTTTCGAGATCACAGACCAGGGGCATATTTCCAAAAAGGCGCTCGTGAAATGGGTCGTCAGTGTCTACAAGGAGCGTAGGGCTCTTGCGCTCACTTTGAGTGACAACAAAACCGTTGTTGCAAAGCTCCATCGAGTTTTTGATTTCGTAAGTCGATCGATTCTTCTTTCTTCTTCTCCATTTGTTCTAACGTTTTCTTCTTTATCTTTGCAGGTGTTGGTGGTGGTGCTTTTTATAATTTGGTTACTTATTCTCGGAGTAGACACCTCCAAGCTGCTGGTGTTCTTCTCCTCCATTTTCATACCTTCTGTTTTTGTTTTCGGCAACATGGCGAAGGGGACGTTCGAAGCGTTGATATTTCTGTTTATTGTGCATCCTTACGACGTTGGAGATCGAGTATGTGTCGATGGCCAGACTTTGTTGGTCGAGGTATTCGTTTTCCAACTTCTTTTCTTAACATTTTACGAAAAGAAAAAGTTTTTGCAGGAAATGAATGTGCTCAACACAATTTTTCTCACGTACGTATTCTGTCGCTTTATCCTTGAAGTGTGATTGAATTTTGCTTCTGCTTTTCGCCGCAGAGGCTCGAACGAGAAGATTTACTATCCGACCTCGGTTCTCGCATCCAAGCCTCTGTCAAACTTCCATCGCAGCCCTGACCAGTGGGACGCGATCGAGTTCCAAGTTAGCGCCAACACTCCGGTTGAGAAGCTCGGTTTCCTGAAGGACAGGATGCAACGCTACATCGAAAGCCTTCCTCAGTTTTGGTATCCTGACTTTCGGATCGTCTGCAAGGACATCGAGAACAGCAACAGGATGAGGATGGCACTTTGGATGCAGCATCACCTCAACTTCCAGGTCCTCTATCCCGGTTTTACTTTTGTCCCCTCTCTTTCTCTAAGCAAACTCTTTTCTATCACTCCAGGAAGGTGGCGAGCGATTCCAAAGGCGCAGCAATATGCTTCTATACATGCGGCAACAAATGGAGGATCTTGGCATATCGTATCAGCTTCCACGGCAAGAAATAGTGGTGACTGGCTTCCCTTTGCGTGACTTGCCAACACCGGTGTTGGCCTAGAAAAGATTTTGCCTCCGCGGTTTTAAAGGGTATGTGTTGGATTTTAGAAGTCCTTCTGCCGGTTGCTTGGTTTGAGCTGCTCCTTAAGTCTCACGAACTCGGACAGGCCCATCTCGATGGCTTTGATGCTCAGCTCCCTGCCCTCGGCGTTGCTCATCGTTTTGTCATCTCCATACGTCATGCGACGCTCGTCCAGCAGCAGCTTCCGGCGGTAGAACACCTTGTAGCAGCGGCGGAGCGTGATGATCACGATGAGAGGGAACGAGATAGCGCAGACGACGACGAAGATCCACAGTATCTGGGACTTGTAGATGGACTCGCCCTCGACGATGAAGACGCTGCGGAGCTGGGTGCCGAAGGTGTTCACCTTGACATCGTTGGTGAAGAGCGACCAGGTGTGGTACGACTCCGAGCGCTTGGACTCGCTCAGGATCATGGCGAAGATGGGGGCGTACAGGATCATCCCAAACGCGACGTTCATGGCGGCCAGCCCCGAGAACTTGAGGACCTTGAGGTTCTCGTGCTTCTTCGGGTAGACGAAGCGGGCCAGGTACTCGAGCTCCAGGTTGGTGCATGGCACGGTGGCGGTCACCACCGAGACCGCAGCGGTGACGAGCGCCGCCCAGGCCGTGAAGAGATCCGTGGAAGGCCCCCGGTCCATGTTGAAGGCGGTGTTGTGCTCGTCCGCGTAGGCCGTGACCGTGTCATTGAACATCACGTTGAGGAGATCGGTGTCGAGAGCAGTGATATCACACCTGGGAACGCTGGTGTTCAAGGCGATGGTGATGTTGCAGCGCCGGAGATACGACAGACTCTTCTCCACCACGTCCGAGCCGAGGCCGTAGAAGCAGAAGCTCCCGTTCGGACGTCCCAGCTCGAGCTCCTCCGTCCGGAAACCGCTCGTGTCCTCCCAGATGCTGTTCGAGAGATCGAAGCCGTTGTGACGGACGCTGTAGATGGCGGCCTTCGTCCGGCCGCTGGTGTTGCATGGAGCTCCAGGCGCGGTGTCGTTCACGAGCTCGAACGAGTCCGTTAAGTTTTTGGTGGAGGTCCGGCCATGGAGGTAGCTGTAGGCGAGCTGGAAGTTGGAGAGGGCGATGGCAACCTTGTTCCCGCGGCAGGGGGTGTCGGCGTAGCTCCCCAGCGTGAAGTTGGTGCAATAGTAGCGCCTCTCGGTGGCGGAGAAGGCGCAGCCGCGGAACTCGTCGAGGTTCTTGGTGAGAACCGGCGCGGTGGAGCACTCGTGGAGTGGACGCCGGGTATAAGGCCAGGTGATCTCGTGGGGCTGGTTCTGGAGCACCACCAGCATCCGCGTCTGGTTGAGCCCCTCCTTGAGGCTCTGGACGAGCTCGTAGCAGATCCCCGGAGGAACTTTGTAGGCCGCGTCCAGGGGTGATCGTCCGATGGCGATGGCTTCGTTGCACTGCTCCAGGCCTTCGCGCACCACCCGGAGGTGCAGTTTTGACCGGTTCGTGGCGACGAGCCGGGTCCTGTTGATGATGTCCGAGGTGCTGCTGCTGAGTAAGACTGGAGTCACAGAGGAGGAGACAGCGAAGAACAATTGCTGCCACAAGGTACCGTAGTTGAGCTTGGTGGGCGACTGACCATCGCCACCACCACCACCTTGCAGGAGGATCACCGGCGCGACGATGTCGCAGTCCGCGGTGATGCAGTTGTACATGAGCACCCAAGTTGTCATCCGGATCCTCCCGGTCCCGGGGCGGCCAGTCTCGGTGGTGTACTCGGCCACCGCGGCTTCTCGGGTCGCGGCCAGGCCGCCTCGTCGCAGGAGCTCGAGCTCTTGGTCGGGGCCCCAGGAGGAGTTTGGCAGGATCCCGGCGGCGGGGGGGCCGAGCAGCAGGAATCGCCACAGCGCCTCCGGGTGCCAGTCCACGTTTGAGAGCTGCCACCATGTAGAGGACTGCTGGAGGTTGCGGCTGAGCTGCGTGATGGCCGCGAGGCTCTTGGTCACCTCGGACAGCTTACCTCGGATCGTCCACAAGTCCAGGGAGTGCGCCGCCAGGATTCCTCCATCGCCGCCGCCGCCGCCGGCGGGAGATCTTTGGCTTCCTTCCAGGAGCAGTAGCAGCAGGAGCAATGGCAGAGAAATCCGGGCATTTGGGAGCATTGGCGAGGAAGCAATTTGCGAGCGAAACAAGGAAAGAATGCTTGACACAGTGCGATCCTACATGGTTCTCGAAAGAACACGACTGTCTCGCTTTACAATAAAGAAAAGACTCGAATCACTGCCATTACGACAGGGAATTTTAAAAAAGAGAGAAACATTCTATTTTTCTGACGTCAGCCCTAGATTGGCTTCTCACCATGGATCTGACGTGGCAGGCGCAGGGTTTAGGGTTTATGCGGGGAATGAACCGAGCAGCGGCTTTTCTCCGGGCCAGGTGCGAGAGGGCGCGGGAATCTGCGTCTCTGTTCGTCAAGGCTAGGTTAGATCCATTCCAGTGGAGTCTCGGTTGAGGGATTGATCGGTTGATCGATTGGCAGGAAGAAGAATGCGAGGAAAGCGCAGCGCATCGGGAGGAAGATCATGCACTATTTGCGCACCGATTTCAAGGAGATTGCTTGGCCCTCCTCGCTTCCCAATCCTCCCGGCCGGCCTCGGCGCCAGAGATTCTTCGCCAAAGAGGTAGTAGGCCTACATTCTTTGAGCTCTTTTCAAAATAATTTCTCTTCTAGACTTTGAGAGAGGCATGGAAGCTCTACAAGAAGTCGTGGACGTCCGATTTCGAGATCTATGGCGTGGTGGTGAAATCTTCCAAGAAGAAAGAAGCCGCTGGAGGTGGTGCTGCCGCTGGCCCTTCTCGTGGAACCACACCACAGGATGAAAAGTTTCCATCGATTTACGAGGAACTCGGTACGCAAACAAAAGAAAAATGGATCGATCTTAGCAAAGTTTGATCTCACACTTCTCTTCTTTTCTTCTTCTTTTTTCCAGAAGCAGCAGTCAAGCTTGGAGGAGAGCACGTCAAGCCGGCGCTCCAGCGGATCTACATGACCCGAGCAACCGTGTACCGCGACGCCGTGCGGAGTTTCATCGATGGATACAAGCAAGGCATCCGTGAGTCTGCCGAGAAGAGCACCGCCGACGACAAAGCCACGGAACAAGTCGTCAACGAAGCCAAGCGAGCTGCCGAAGAAGCTGCAAAGTCTCAGAGGCAGTACGCCGCTCCATCGTCTTCGCCTTCTTCGTCATCTTCTTCACGTCCGCCAGAGGAAGGCGAGAAAGGCGAGAAGAAAAGCTCGGCAGCCGACGCCGGGTGATGACTCGTCTTCCGTAACGCATAACCGAACTGGGAGCGTAGAGTCGCGACTCTTCGCGTTCAACTGACCCATTGCGCTGCGCGAGACGAAGGATTTCTAAAACTCCAGGCTCCAGTTTACGCTGGGAATGGGATCCAAGCATGGAAAGTGTTGAGCAGCAGCAGCGAGTTGATCATCCTGGCCGGGAAGATCCATCACTGGTAGCACCAACAGCAGCAGCAGCTAGTGCTAGTTCCAGCAGTTCTTCCACTTCTTCTTCGGCAACTCCGGCTCATCATCCACAGCTCAAGTCAGCCCTCAAGGCCTATCGACCATCTCCACTCCGGCGGCCATCCAATCCTCCGCCACCAATGATCATCGAAGGCCCTACTCCGAAGAACGCCGACGATGCCGATCACACTTGCGACGACTTCCAGCTGCTGTGGGAGAAGGATCCAAATCTCCGGACTCCAACTTTGACGCCAGCCCCGGACGGCGCTTCTTCAGCTCCTCCTCCAGTGGCAAAGTCCGTGTCTTTCAAGGACAAGAAGTCGGCCCAGTGCATGATCTACGTCGAGCCGGAGGAGCTCCACGATGAAAACTCGCGAGACGACAGCCACACCTTTGATAACTTCGATCGGCTGTGGGAGAAGGACCCGGACCTCGCTGGCGGAGACGTTTCTTTCCATGCAGTGCCGAGCAAAATCGTCCACCAGCTGCAAGAGCCGGGCACTCCAGTCAGCGAGCTTCTCAAAATCAATCCCTGCGACATGATCCAGAAGCACGTTGTCACTGTTGTGAACTCCACAGCCTCGTCTTCAGCACCGTCGGGTTCTTCCTCATCGTCGTCCGAGAGCCGGCTTTGCAAGTCCAACGTGGTGTATGATCCCCTGGCCCAGAGAGACCGGAGGCTGTCGTTCGAGTTCTCGTATGACATCCGGAGCCAGAACGAGGAGGATGGCACTGCTGACAAGACGATCCGGAACGCTGGAGTGGTGGTACGCTGCGACGTCCAGGTCCAAGTAGTCCTCAAGGTGGAGCCTATGCAAGACCCGGAGAGGAAGTTCCTGTTTCTCTTCCATCACAACGTCAGGGTCTTCTCCGACTTCAAGCTGGAGAGTGAGGCCAGCGTCGTCCAAGACTCGACCATGGAGGTGGCGGATTCACTGCCGGACGAGTTCTCCTCTCCTGCCGAGCCCGGAGTTGAGATCACTCACTACAGAGTGACGCATCATCTGGTGGTGCTGCATAGATGGGCTCTGGCGACCACTCCGAAAGCCGTGTTGCAGCGAAGAATGTCGGCATCGACGTCCCAGTCGCTGGCTCACCAGGAGTACTTCCAGCTCCAGGAGCAGCAGCTGGTGATGGACGATGAGAGGCGGCACGAGAGCGACGAAGGTGAAGGCAGTGGTGCGATGAGACGGACCCGGTCATCTAGGCGTCGGTCTCTGCAAAGATCGAACTCAAAGTAACGAATCGGACTGAAAGAAAGGAGTGAAGGAATCTTGTTTTTTTGAAGCTACTCCATACCTTGGATGATCTTTCCATGGAAAAGTATCGAAGATCAATGCAAACTACTCCCACTTTCTTCGACCCTTTGGAGTGAATCCCTTGAACAAGCTGAGAAAACGAGAGGGAAAACCAAGATTTGCTTACTATGGAAACTAGAGCTCTAGAGTTTTCGGTGCCACCGCTTGGAGTAAAGGCGTTGCTGCTACTCTAGCCCACACTGCAAGAAGCACGAAACTTTAGAAAATCCACGCTCTGGAAATTTGTTTCGTCCTTACCACACATGAACGCTCCAAGCATTGCTCCAGCCTCGAATCCAAAACTGAAAAGAAAGAAAGCGGATCAATCGACTGGAGGATGAAAATGCTGCTGCTGTTGCTTACCGCGGCTTGAAGAATCCTCGATCTTGCACATTTTCTTCTTCTTCTTCAACCTCGCGCTCAATTTCCTGGAGCGATGGAGCGGCGGCGTCGGTGCAGTAGCCCTGGCGCTGCTTGTGACGGGGATTGCTCTTGCAGATCACGTAGAGGCGGCGGCCACGCCGCACGGAAATGCAAGCATCGCACAGCTTCTTCACGGACGCGCGGACTTTCATCGCAGAACCCTAAATAAACCCTACCTTTTTGAGATTTTAAAGTTCTTCCATTTTCTCATTTGGAATTTCATCCGGCCAATCAGCGGCAAGAAAAATAGGGTTAGGGTTTCGCTTTCGCTCCCGCGACCGCAGCTATGATAGGCGCTGTGGTGAGGGCGTCGCGGACTCGCAATGTCACTCGTGTGCTACTCCGGAATTTATCATCGTTCCGGGAAGAAGTGGATCCCATGAATCCCAGCAAAAAGCTCCAGATTCCAGCTGACAGGTGAAAATCAATCATTCCGAGTGAATTTTGGATCCATTGCGGTCGTCCAGGTTGTGGTCAGCTCAAACTCAGCTCTCGCTCCAGAATTTCCAGATTGGCGGCGAAAGAGAGCGGATGCCACTGGCGCTGGTGCGCGCTTTTGGCATTCTCAAGATGTGCGCTGCAAAGGTTTGCTACTTTTTCTTTGTTCTTCTTTTTTGGCTTTTCAAACTGTGAGGCTTCAAAGTCTTTGTCTATCAGGTGAATGTCGCGGATGGTTTGGATCCCAAGATCGCAAACGCGATCGTTCAAGCGGCACACGAAGTCGCACAAGGCGAACACGATAATGAGTTCCCGCTCGTGGTGTGGCAAACTGGCAGTGGGACGCAGTCAAATATGAACGCCAATGAAGTAAGACATTCCTTTCGTTTCCGTTTTTGATAGAAGAAAGGAAGAACTTTGGTGTCTAGGTGATTGCAAACCGCGCAGCTGTGATCCTCGGGGAGCAACCCGGTAAAAAGTTTGTGCATCCCAACGACCACGTAAACAGAGGCCAGTCTTCAAACGACACTTTTCCTACTGTAAGTTTGAAGTTTGTCTTACGTTTCGCTTCAAGAAAATGAGATTTTAATCGTGCACTCAGGTCATGCACATAGCAGCTGTAAGAGAGATTCACAGCAAGCTGCTCCCGAGCCTTCGAGAGCTGTACAAGACTTTACGTGCCAAGGTATCTATTTATCATTGTTTGAAACTCTACAGTAATTTGGTTACCTTTTCCTCAGGAGTTTGAGTTTCACGATATCGTGAAAATCGGCCGAACTCATCTACAGGACGCTGTTCCTTTGACCCTCGGCCATGAGTTTAGCGGATATGCAACGCAACTTAAGTACGGGATCAGGCGCATCAAGGCTGCCCTCCCGCGACTGTACCAGGTAGGAGCGCGCTCGTACTTCTGATTGCTCTCTAAATTCTTGTGGCAGCTTGCCCAAGGTGGAACTGCCGTGGGAACTGGCCTCAACACTAAGAAAGGGTACGTGCTTCTACGTCCATGCTGCCAATGACGTTGCTTGCTTTCCTCAGGTTTGACAAGAGGATTGCTAGCGCTGTTGCGGAGGTGACTGGGCTCCCCTTTGTCACCGCTCCAAACAAGTTCGAAGCTCTGGTAAGTGTTTTGCTTGTGCGTGAAAGCGTTCCGCTATATGATGTATGTTGCAGGCTACACATGATGCATGCGTGGAAGCCAGCGGTGCGCTTAACACTATCGCGGTCTCGCTTATGAAAATCGCGTGGGATATCGGCATGCTTGGAAGGTGAGAGAGAGCTTTGGTAAGAATTGTGGATTTACTTTCGGAATGTTTAGTGGGCCTCGGTGCGGATTGGGAGAGCTAAAGCTCCCGGAGAACGAACCTGGAAGCAGCATTATGCCGGTATATGTTGTTTTTTTGAAAATTTTCCCTGTTTCATAGATGTTTTCTTCAGGGAAAAGTCAATCCTACGCAGTGCGAAGCGTTGAGGATGGTTTGCGCTCAGGTATTCCCCGGTGATAACTTCGGTCTTGCGATTGTTATCGTGCCTTTTCTGTAGGTGATGGGTAACCACCACGCAATTTCCATTGGTGGGTCGAATGGCAATTTTGAGCTCAACGTGTTCAAGCCATTGATCGCGAAATGTCTTCTTCATGTACTCTCACTGCCAACTTCTACCTTCTTTTATGCTAATGGTGTTGTTATGGCAGTCCATCCAATTGCTTGGAGATGCCGTCGATTCTTTCAACAGGAAATGTGTGATGGGGATTGAAGCCGATAGAGAAAGAATTGCGAAGCATTTGAGTGAATCGCTCATGCTCGTTACAGCCTTGAATCCGGTAATATCTGCTGCGCTTTCTGTGTTGTCGCTGACCATCTCTTGCAGAAAATCGGGTACGACAAAGCTGCTCTAATCGCTAAAACAGCTCACAAAGACGGAACCAGTTTGAAGGTAAGACTTTGAAAAAGAGAACTCCAGTTCCAATCTAAAGAAGTTCTCTTTCTCTTGCTCTCGCTCAGGAGGCTTGCCTGAAACTCAATGCCCTGACGGAGGCAGAGTTTGACGAGATCGTTGTCCCGGAGAAGATGGTTGCCACGGAACCTCCCATGCCGATCTCATGCACAACGCTAGTGGGAGGAGTTTATCGCAATGGCACGGTGCTCGCTGTGGATGGCCGCGCGCTGGTCAAGTTGCCGATGAACGAGGAAGGAGAAATCGACTTGGCCGCGGTCGAAAGCATGGATCCCGAGGAACTCGTCAAGAACCATGTCTTGTCCGAGGATTTCCAAAAGATATTCAGCCTCAAGAACACCGCATTCGCGTTCAGCGGTGCTAAACACGAGGTTTGGTTTGAGTCCTGTTTTTCCTGTTTTTTTCTTTGCTTTTGTTCTTGGCTGACGTGAGTTATTATTCTCTTCTATCCAGGCAGAGGACTTTTTCAGTGATGCCCAAGGAAAGATGCCTGACGCCGACGGTGTTGATCTGGCCGATCATGCTGCAAAGTTCTTCACCATGAAACAGGCGGACGATGTCACCTTGATCATCGCGGGGCAGGGCAAAGTTTACGTGGTAGCGCCTCTGTCGACGCAGCTGGGACCAAAGTGCTGGACGTTTAGTCCCCACGATTGGAAGGTGGTGGGCAGTGGTAGGAGCGTCGCGAGCGAGGTATTCAAGGGTGACAAGTACGAGCAGATGGACAGGGAAAAGGTTTTCGAAGATATCTGCAAGGTGATTGATCACGCCGCTACCAAAGACAAGCTCACGGGCCCAAACATCTTTGCCTTGTTCTCGGAGAAGAGCCAGAGGGTGATGATGGGTCGGGTGGACGGCCAGGTGAAGATTATAAGCTCATGACAAAATTTTCTTCTTTTTTTTTCCAGCGGAATAATCAAGGAATACTAAAGTTATAGATGGAAATAATAAACTTCTTAATTCAGCCCTTTTTAGCTATAAATACAGTGTCAGGGCATAGGATTAAACGAAGCTAGTTGTTTTTCATGGCTATGGCGAATCGGTTGGCGATGAGGAAGGAGAGGGAGAGGAGAACGGAGGAGCGGAGGAAGCTGGAGAGGGCGCATAACTGGGAGGACGGCACTGATCCATGGGAGGACGAGGTCTTCTACAACGAGCGGATCAGGAATCTGTCCAAGAGAGTGACGAAAGCGCAGATCGATGCGGTCACGGCCAATTCGAGCCCAGATCACGCACGCATTCTTCGGGAGTGGTGCGAGCAGATGGATGCCCGCCTTGCTTCTAAAGGGGAGTGGCAGCCCCTTGGCGAGACTTCTAAGAATTCTTAGAATATCGACTGAAACTTTTACTGTAGTGGTAAGATCAACTAGAGCTGTCAGAGTGGTCTTGGTCTATTGTTGCATGACCAGCAATGCATTGCCTTGGAATGCAAGTGGAAATCGAGTGTTGAAAGTGGATGTTGGAGCTTGTTCCACGACAATTCAAGCGACTGGAGGGAGCCTTTTCAATCTGGGAAGAGCCAGAAAGACTCAATAATACGCGAAAGTGATCGACTCTAATAAAGAATAGGTTAACATACATCGACAAAAACTACTGAGAATCATGAACATGAAATGTTCTATGGCAGAGGAATTCACATAAAACTGAGTGCACACATGGGCTATGGGCTGTGTGCTCTCTCAGAACTCGTGCAAAGAAGTGCTTCGTCCCTTCTCGCAGCTATGGAGCTTATCCTGCAGTCCTGGAATGCTCTTTACTTCCTCGTGTTTCTACTCTCTTTGTGGCTGATCTCCCGCAAGTTCTACAAACCATCCACGATCAAACTCCCACCGGGAAGCCATGGCTGGCCCCTTGTCGGAGAATCTCTCTCTTTCTTTCGGGAATCCCCTCTAGACTTCCTCACTACTCGACGCAAGAGGTTCTGCTTTGCCTTTCGCTTAGATCTTGATAACCATACGATATCTACAGATTTGGAGGTGTTTTCTCAAGTAACTTGCTTGGATCTCCTACCATCGTCGCTACAACGGTTGAGGCGGCCAAGTTCTTCCTCAGCTGCGCTGACTGTGGCCCCTCGGGCTTGTTTAGACGATTGATTGGGCCGAAAATTATTTCCGAAACCATCGGGAGTGAGCATGCGCTCTACCGGAGAATTGTGCTGGGGATGATGGTTCCAGAGACGCTCAAGCACCATGTGGAGACGATTGATAACTTGGCTCAGGAGATTCTGGAGTCGTGGGGGTCGAAGAAGACGGTAACGGTGATGGAAGAAACTCTCAAGGTTTGATCACATTGCATGCCGGGTTGATGCTTGATCTGATTATATACATTTGACTTTGCCAGTTTAGCTATTGCGCGGTGATTGGATTCGTGTGCCAGAAACTCCTGCCTTCCACTCCGGAGATGATCGATCTCATGCGAGACGTCCAAGCCTTGGTGACAGGAATGCTCCAGTTTCCAATCGACATACCCTTCACACCTTATCGCAAAGCATTGCAGGTTTTTGACTTATATTATTTGTGGTTTTGATCTTTCTAGTTCTTGATTCGATCAGGCCAGGGCGAGGCTCCACACGTTCTTGGATGGGCTCATCAACGAGAGAAGGGCGCTATTAGGTGCCAAGGGCGAGAGGCACAAAGACGCGCTGGACGAGTTCATCATGCACAAAGATGACAAGGTTGGAATCCTCTCAAATCAACAAGTGGAAGACAATCTCACGGCACTGCTGTTGGGAGGCCACGATACCACAGCTCTTGCTCTTTTGTGGCTGATCAAGTACTTACATGAGAACCCACAAGCTTTCAGGGAAGTAGAGGTAACCATTTCCATTGTCATTAGTAGAGTGTTATTACTGTTTAAATTTGTCCTATTCCCAGGAGGAGCAAAGGAGAATCTTTGTCAAGAAAGGCTCCAGAAAGTATAAGCTAACTTGGGAAGACACAAAACAGATGTTAGCCACTTTAAGGGTTGTACTACACATTTTCTTATATTAAATTTGAGTTTTTTTTTTGTTCTTTTTTGTTCGTTTTTTGCAGGCTGTCGATGAGACTCTGAGGCTTTCTAATATTGTTGGGATGGTAACACGTAAAATCACCAAGGACATCAGCTACAATGGTTTGATTACAAGTGATTGAAGCTAATTCCAATTGTTATCTACTTTCATGGTGTTACACAGGTTATACCTTGCCCAAGGATTGGCAGGTTCAAGTTCATATGTCAGCAATCCATTTAGATGAGAGTATTTACCCCAATGCAACAAAATTTGATCCATCCAGATTTGAAGTATGGCATTTGTCATGTTTATACTGACCAAGCCTTTTTATTTTCTTCCATCAGGTCCCAGCTAAAACTGGCACATTTATTCCATTTAGCTATGGACAGAGGATATGCCCAGGAAGTGCACTTGTTAAGTTAGAGCTATGCGTTTTCATACACAGGCTTATCACAAAATACAGGTATTTCCTTTTCCTCCTCTTTTTTTGTTGCCCTTTGTCTTTCAAAAATTCTAACAAATTGTAATTTTTGAATGAAGATGGGAGCCAGTGAATCCGACTAGTACAATAAGCTACTGGCCAATGCCCAGAGTGAAAGATGGATACCTCATACGAGCTATGTCCATCCAGTAAATAAATAACAAGAAATAGCTGATATTTAGGCAGGGCTTGATCGCATGCCGGATGTGTTTAGGGAATGCAATGCGAGTTTAGGCACAGTAAGGTCGCGAGATTAAATCCCCGCGACTCAGGAACTCACCCGTGTCATCCCGTGAGTTCTCAGGGTTTTTCTCGAGAGACACAATGGTCTTTCTTTGAGAGATAGAATGGTGTTTTTCTTTCTTTGCTGATAACTTGGCATTCGATATCTCGCAGCCTCTGGAAGTGTCTGAGGAGGAGAATCCCAGCTCCAATTCTCGAGTCCCCTGTTACTTCTACAGAGAAGCGGCCCGGACGAGCATCCACACCAAGTCCAGGTTGAAACTCCGGAAGAACACGACCACGAGTGGCCGATGGGAGGCAGCTCCCCCGACTTCGACGACGTAGATCCCGGAGCCCAGCAGGACTTCTACTCGGACGATGGTCGATCCAGTAAATGGCTACGAGCGAGGAGCTTTCCAAAACGGCACCAGCGCTGGCACACGGGACAGCTTCAACGAGTACAAGCCTTACGATCCATCGTATCAACCGTCGCTCCCTTATGACTGCATGATCAGCTCGTCCAGAGCAGCGGATTGATCCCGAGTTGGAAGCTCTTCTCATGGCCAGGAACTTGGAGGGACTAAACCGAGGGAGGCTCGAGGACCGGCTGGTGTTTCCGAGAGGGAACCACAAGAGCCTCTTTGCCGGGAACCGCCTAGAACTTTTCAACGGCATCAGCTTCAAGTTTCTCAACCATCAGCTTCAAGTTTCTCAGCGAGATTGTAGTTGACAACCTCGAGTTGGGAGCGTAGAGCTGAACTCTCCCTGAAACTTGTTTGAAGAGAGATCCAAGTAAGCCAAGCTAGTGAAGGAACTTCACTGTTCAGGGCTACTGAAGATTAATTAATTAATGACTAACTAGCAGGGATCCCAGCTCCGCTGGAAAAAAGTAAAGAATGTTTTCAATATGAAAAAATGCAATCATACATACTTTGGGTTAGAACAACACATTTAAAAAAAATAAAATAATAGAACAATGACTTATGATGTTCGTCACTGCACAGAAACTTTGCAGGTGCAAAATGCAGCTTCAGCACTTGCATCCACTCTAGCCGTGTCAAAGAGGGGAAGAAATTATTGGCAAAGATCCTGGGATTATCCTTTTCTAAGTTTGGTAGTTGACAATTTGTCAAAAAAGAATGGGAGAGTCTCTCTTTGCATTCTCCCCACCACCAGTAAGTCTTTTAGCAATTCAATGAGCTCTTCATTAGTCTTTGCAACTAAGTTGATTAAGAATACCTTCAAAACCAAGAGAAAGAGTATACATCTATAAGTTCAATTACCAGATTCTGGCAACCAGCTCTGGACTCTCAAGAATCTAGAAAAAAAAAACCTTCACTTACTTCTGTTGTCACTACTCCTGTAAAGGGTCATAGTCTAAACTCCAATCATGAAATTAAGAAGTTCTTTGATGCAACTTGTCTGATCAGAAAACATTAGAAGAGGATTGTTATGGCCCAAGTGTTGTCGAAGTTGGGCGGCTCAGAAAGGTTGCACAAGTCACTTAGTTCCGGAGGTAGATCCTCTTGTTATATGGCACCACAAACACAATGGTCATCTGGATGCTTGTCTTACTCTTTGCATTTTTTTTGAACAATGCTTCAAGGTACAACTGGAGAAATTTGCTAGAGATGCTCATCTTATACATATTATATGTTATGTAAATCTGTCTATTCTTTAATTCTTTTAAAGGCATCTCGTTTGTTCTCACTCATCACGTACTATTGATGATGGAAGTGAGGCATGGGAGGCCACTATGTGTAGCTCCAAGACATGTGTCATACTAACCTTCCCTAAGTTGCATGAGTAGTTGATGTTTCACATATATCTTAGTATTATCTGGTGCACTGAAACAAAGTGGCATTGACAATGAGGTAGCCAATGAACTTACATGTGACTTAAGTTGTGTAGACCGGGAAAAAATGGTGAAAGAAATCTATCCAAGAGCTTTTAACTCACGATCCAATTTTAACAGCAATCCAGGTGGCTTGAAGTACTTGTTTGTTGTGATCACAACTTTCTCAAGCAGAGAATTTGAATTATCTGAGAAGAATCTGAGTAGTCATCTGGCTTGATGGGACAACACATTTGCAGTTGAAAATAACAGGAACAAATGTGATGAATTTAACTATGTTCTATGCCTCGTAGATCTTATTAGTGAAGCCCTCTAAAGCAAGGCCAAGGCCTATTCTCTGTGTTGTATTTATCCTGAAATCCTGACATAAGAACAAAGTCAGATTCCAAAAACTTTTACTGAGTTTGACACGGCAGCATTGTTTTCTACACGCCTGGGAGTGACCCTCTCCTTCTCTAAGCCACACATCCACCAGGCTCCCACACAACTTAAGCACCATGGAGAGGCTTATGGCAAAACCATCACAAACAAACAACTCCAGAACCACCTCCTTGCCAATCCCAGCATCAGTGACATCTATGACACAGCACTGTGGCAAGCCATCTTGTCAAAGCTGGCTGAGAATCCACCAAGTTTCCACATTTCATGTACATGCCTTGTTTATCAATTTTTCTTATACTATATACCATTGGATGCATTAGAATCAATTTTGGCTTGTCTTTACGAATGTTAACAGTTAGAATGAACACTACATTACTGAAATCAATGCCATGAACCACTAAAATAGTGACTCGTCTTTTAAATCTGCTATGTAAACCTGTGAAAAAAAAACTAAAGAAACTACCTGATGCAAACACAGAGTGCAGCTTGTTTTGTATCAGCTTAAGTTCTTATTCCTCATCATACCACGGGTCTGCTGCTCACACCACTCTGATAACCGAGCCCAGTGATCGATCTCTCCAAGAACATCCTCTTGTTAAATCCATCAAACTCGCAGTTTCCACCTGTGAGTAGAATCATCCCATCCATAACTCGGCTGACGAGTTAGTTTGGCACTCTCCTCATGGCAATGGATGCCATTTCTCCCACTTCTACCTGATCTACAGGCTGGAAGAATATCTCTGAATCGTTCCACACCAAGTACTATTTGGTAGTCCTTCTCAGTAAGAGGCCGTTGTATTACAAACTCTGGCACTATTTCCTGCAGTCCGGGTGGTGGTGCTGAAGTATATGAAAGATCAATTTCCTGGAAGTAAAGCAGTTAGAAAGGGAAAAGAAAAGTAGTGACGAAAGTGATATACCTTGAGTTTCGAGGTTAGACGACTGAGTTCTGCTTCATCTTCATCTACATCTTCTTCTACTTCTTCTTTGTAGTCTCTGTCCATTTGCTTGTACATATGCCAGTCCTCATCATTCATGCCAAAAGTATCTTCGTCCAAAGGTTGCTTGCATTAAGAGTTTCATTTGTTCTCTCTACACGGCAGTCAGCCTTTCACTTTTGACCGTGAGTCTGCAACTACAGTACCATGGCCGTTGGTTGTGCAAACTTTCTGCTGTTTTCTTTGGTCTACCTTTGTTGAAACTTCACAATGCCTGGCCTTCAACTCCTCTAGATACTTCTCCAGGTTTTCCTATGATGAGAAAGAGTTGTAAATATTTAGAAAGAAAAAGATGTAAAAGATGTACAAGCGATACTCTTCTTCCATTTGTTGCTTGTGCTCTCTCTGCAGGGACTCTTCTTAACATCTTTGCCTTGCTCGAATGTGTCTATCAAGTGCACGATCCCGATTTTTTGGGTTTTCTGCCAGTGGTGCTGTTGTTTTTAAAAAAATCTTTGCTTTCTTTTTCGCTTCAATTGCCAATGCCAAGCACACAACAGCTGACAAAAAGAAAATTTGATATACACAACTGTTCCTTGAATAAAAGGCTTTCTGCATTTTCGAGCAGAGGGTACTTTTGTGATGCTAGAATGTCACCACTATTCACTATCTTTTAACACCTTAATGCTTTCTCCGTTAGCTTTACATATACTACTTCAATCAGTCTAGATCCCGAAAAAGGTTCTTCAAGTATTCCGCCTCATTTTCTAAATAAATAAGCTTTGAGGATAGTTTTGCTGCTGCCATTTCTTGAAGCCGCTATCACTGCTTTTCTCTCAAAGCTGCCAGTTCATCCTCCCCAGGCTGCTCTTTTTCAGGTGGCAGTATCCATGGCACCTACCACCATCTCGTTTTCACTAATGCCTAGGGAGATTATAACTGATGAAATAAATTGCTACAACATTGACACACCGAACTGCTTACCTAAAATAGTTTTAGCTCTGCAGTATAGTCAACTGTAATGCAGCTATTCTCTGTTTTTCAAAAACCACATGTGGTAGTTATGCTATATTCAATCAAATCGCTATGGACTTACAGATATTGAAGGCACAAAAAGCACTTTAGATAATCAGAGACATGAAAGCCTCCTACCGATTTTCTGCAGCATACTTCCATAATAGGCTCCTTAATAGATATCTGACACAATACGAGTTTTGAACTTACAACAAAAGCAAAAACTAACAGAGAAACCATCAGTGTATTGGTATAATATGAGTTGTAGCAAACAAGTATACCATCAGAATTGCACGTGTGTGTGTGCATGCACTCACACACACACACACACACATACACACACACACACACACACACACAGAGAGAGAGCACGCACCTGTCCAGTCAATTACAGTGTCAATCCATAAGGGTGCGAGAACTGGATTGCTGGCCGCGATGGTGGCAAAATCCAGCACCGCCGGCTTGATCCCTGCGATCCAATATTTGGACT